CTTTGGTGCAAAAATGGTGATTTTATTAAAGCATGGGGACAGGTCCCATGGGCAGGAAGAGCTGTGCTAGGGTTGTGACGGGTAACTCCTTATATACCACGTTGGGACGGGGTCAGGGATAGAGTAAGTCTCTAAGGAATTCTGGAAGCAACGTTTCTAGGACCTTGAGGGACTAGCTGTTGCTAGGGATACACCGTTTATCACTGTTTAATAAAACCTCAGACATGAGTCCCTTCAGGTGCCTATTGGGGGCCATAAACTTGGAGCATGATTGCCAGCATATATCCTCGGGCAGTTGAGATAAAGGACTCACAGGATCCTCGAGGTTGGGACAATGTTCAGCTGAGGTTCTCTTTTGCTCCTAGCAAAGTGTCATCATCAAGGCAGCTGAGCTCCTCGAGGGAGGTCACTCTCGGTCTCAAGGACTTGTCAGTAAGGGAATTCAATTTACCTTAGTTTCCCATGTCACCATGGCAAGCACTTAAACCTCTTTCCTTTGTTCTTGGGTAGCTGGGAGTGTCCAAGGAACATCACACAGATCTCAGCTGGGGTGGGGGTGGGGTGGGGGTGGGGGCTTGTGCTTTGCCCCTTAGCCTGCCTCATGCCCCGTTATCAAAGCCACTTCTAGCTGGGAGAGGGACAAACAGACAAAAGTACTTATGTAGAAAACAGCAAAGTAAAGTAAAAAGAGCACAGGATTGGCAAACAGCACTTTAATCCTTTTTCTTCCACTTCTTAATAACAAGGGGCTTTGGTGAAGGCACTTAACTGCTGTCCCCGGGACTGTATAATGAGAGGTTTGATTTAAATCACTTCCCAAGATTCCTTTGACTTCAGCGTTCGATGAGTCCCTAGACCAGTGGGGCTGGCATCAGGCACCAGTTCCAAGCACTGGCAGAAGACTGAAAATTTCAAGGAAGGCACTGCAACGCCAGGGGAGCCAGGAGGGGAGGAGGGGAAGGGGAGGGGAAGTGAGAGCTGAGGTTTGGGGCCCAACACAGGGACCCCACTTGCCCTGGTCTAAAGGGGATACCTGAGTGGCTCAGTTAGTTAAGCGTCTGACTTCGGCTCAGGTCATGATCTTGCGGTTCATGAGTTCAAGCCCTGTGTCAGGCTCAGTGCTGA